TTCTTTGTAACCCATAGTGACGTAGCCTTCTCTTCAAAGTCCTCACGTTCATTGAAATCCCATGGTATTCTGCCAGAAAGTGAACAATGGTCTCGTAACGAAATCCCTTATTAAAGTAATGTTCTATAGCCAATCTTTCGTCTCCCAAGCTGGACAACACACTTTCCTCTTCACGCCATTTTAGTGTTCCACAACAACGGCAGAATGTTTCATTGTTCCCACATTCTCTTCCACATTTATGACAGAACATGTTCCATCCTCGTTCCTTCGCCATTTTGTATGCGGGATGATGCGGGAAATGGCAAGAAAACGCCGGTGTAACGCTGGGTGACTGCTGGCGCAAATAGCACGTGACGAAATATTTTTTTGGATTTGCAAAATATTTTCAGATTTTGAAAAATTTTTTTTGAATTTCAAAATATTTATTTGGATTCGCAAAATATTTTCGGATTTTGAAAACATTTTTTTGGATTTCTAAATATTTTTTTGGATTTGTCAAACTTTTCGACGGTGAGTTTAAAATAAATATTGCGATTTGAAATATTTTTCGGGATTTGAAAAATATTTTTGGATTGTCCCTTTTCGGCTTCCGTACTTTGACCACATGCGTGCGAAAGTCATAGAAACACGCAAGGGAGTATAAATAGCTTATATTCTCTTAAAAGATGCTGATGCTGATATTAAAGCTGACTTTTCATCACATATTATAGATAAAGAAAATTGTCATTCTTTTAACACCATGTGTATGTTTTCTTGTTCTAAAATGAAATTCTTTACCTGAAATATTCCATTAGGTTCCTGTGAAGAAGAGCTCCCTTTAAAAAAATTTACAGCTTCTTCCCTTGCACCTTCTCATGAACAAAGCGAAGCTCTTTTCAGCTCTTTCACTTGTTGGAATATCAGTGGTGCGGGAAGTGGTGCTGAAGACTACTTGGAGGTTGACTTGGGAATGGTGAAGGTTTTAAGCGCTGTTACAACGTTAACGAGGGGAGACATTCAGTACAATCTCCAGTACAGTACGGACGGTATCAGCTGGAAGTACTATCTAGATTTCAGCGGTTCGACAAAGGTATATAGAAGCAATTTTAAAATGCAACTAACCTTATTCCAAGAAGTATATACGCTTTACTGTCAAGCGGAGATGGAAGGCATAGGAAACGTACCTGATAAATTCTTTATGTTTCTTGAGATGTTGTTCTCATCTCACGAGATGATATAGTATCGTATTGAGCGCGTTATCCCGCAAGAGTGATTTGAACGGCACTATACACCAAATGAAAAATCGTCAATTTAGTACATTTGTATCCTACTCAAGAACGTCAAATTGGTAAAATGAGTGACTTCGTTCCCAAATTTTGTGAACGTGTTTTCTCTTTGAGGTGTTTACAGTAAAGGGGGTGACCACTGTGAGTATTAAGCCCATGGTACAAGCACGTTTCCTTCGGGTCTATCCCATCAGAAATAACAACTGTTTCAGAATAAAACTTAGTGGCTGCACATCTTTCAAAGGAACAAGTAAGTAATTTTAGCAACTTTTTTTAAATAGTTCTCGCTTCAGTTTTGTTTTCTTAACTTTTTTGAAGAAATGGTAGCCCTAAATTTTCAAAAAAATTGGCAATCTGAGTTAGTCTCCTCCATTTATGAACATCTTTGTCGTCTATCATTACTTCTTTGATGTTTTGCCCGCCTGTAAAAGCTTCCAATATAAGAGGGAAAATGGGAAATATTATCTGCGGGGATATTTAACAACTATCCACCGAAGTGGAGGTGGTTAGTGGTGGATATTTACCGAGCCGCGAAGCGGCGAGGTAAATATCCACTGCTAACCACCGACACTGAGGTGAATAGTTGTTTTAGTATATACTAAAACAGTGAGATAATATACACCACCAAAAATTGATTTGAGTGATTTCTTCGCTTGTCATGGATACAAACCGGGACGCCATTTTTTCCCGAGTTGCTCGGAGGTAAATAGCAAAGGATATTCGGAGTTTGACTAGCCAATCAGAGCGCGCCTTCAACGCTATCCACTGTTTTAGTATATACTAATT